AGAGCCAGTGACTGTAATATTTGATGCATTCTCTGTGCTGAGCCCAGGGCTAAGCATTGGGATTTAATCCTCACAACTTTATGAAGTAGCAGATATTACTACCCACTTTTAACAGATGAGAAAACCAAGACACAGAGAAGTGGTTTCCTGAACTCACTAGCAGGGGGAGTGCAGTTCTGGATGAGAACGATGAGAGTCTCCCCTTGGGGTGGGGGACAGAGAGCAGAGGACTCCGTGGGGACCCCAGGAGGTGAGGAGGCACCTGCCCCTAACATGCTGGTGCGCTCCAGGAAACAAGTGGAAAGCGCGAGTGTCAAGGAGGTGAGTATCCTGGAAGCTTGTCCAGGGGCCGGTCTGCCTAAAGGCGCTCCCTGTCGGAAGCGTGGGTGTCTTCTACTTGCCAGAAATAGAATTAGTCAGAATGTGGGAATATCTTTTAAAATGTTTAAAAAACCTCCAAATGGACAGAGTTATGAAAACATACGTAACTGTGATATGTGATTTACACATAAGTCTTCAAAATTTACATCTGTGTTGTATTTGTGACCAAAAGTGTACAAAAGTGACTGTACTGTAAATTGTTGCAGACATTTAAAAGCCATTCCTATTACTATTGGATGGCAATTCTTTAGATATGCTTCATCTTGGGAACTAAAAACAATGCTAGTCAGAATTGTGTTCTATGTATTCTGTTTGGTTAAATTCAGAGGACGGACTTTGAAATCAGATTAACTGTTTCAAAAACACATGCTAAAAGAATAAATACAATAGTCCCTAAATAATTAAGATTTCTCTTGGCTTTTCCCAGTATTCTACAACTGATTGAACTTTTATAATATACTATATGAACTGATAGTGAAAAGAATTAAAATACATATGCCTTTTCCAGTTTATTACTAAATAAGAAAAAGAAAAAAAACAAAGGCTATACTTGATCTTTTTTTGTCCAAATAAAACACAACAGTCTTTGGAGAAAACACTGATGAAAAGAGTAACATCAGTAAAACCTTAGACCTGCAATACAGTCCAAATGTTTTTAGGTAGGTTTTAAGATTACACTTTGGTTTAAAACATACACCTCGACAATTTATCACTATAGCACAAAAATAGGAGGATACGCAAACTCTCTCCCTATAGAAAGCCGTGTAGCAATGGCTTTCAGAGACCATCCATCTGCAGCACTTACTACACTGCTTAATACAAAGGCCTCACTTGCATAAAAGGACTGGTTTCTACTTTGCTAAATCTAAAGGCATTCAAGACTGAGGGATACTCCTACATTGTTGGTAGGAATGTAAATTGGTACTGCCAATTTATGGAGGTTCCTTAAAAAAACTAAGAATAGAGCTACCATATGATCCAGCAATCCCACTCCTGGGCATATATCCAGAGAAAACTCTATTTTGAAAAGATACTTGCACCCCAATGTTCATAGCAGCACTATATACAACAGCCAAGACATGAAGCAACCTAAATGTCCATCAACAGATGAATGGATAAAGAAGATGTGGTACGTATATACAATGGGATATTACTCAGCCATAAAAAGAGAATGAAATAATGCCATTAGCAGCAACATGGATGGACCTAGAGATTATCATATTAAGTGAAGTAAACCAGAAAAAAAAAAGTAACATATGATAGTGCTTATATGTGGTATCTAAGAAATGATACAAATGAACTTATTTACAAAACAGAAACAAACTCACAGACATAGAAAACAAACTTATGGTTACCAAAGGGGAAGGAGGGGTGAGGGATAAATGAGGAGTTTGAGATTAACCTATACATACTACTATATATAAAATAGATAAACAACAAGGTCCTACTGTATAGCACAGGGAACTATACTCAATATCCTATAATAAACCATAATGAAAAAGTATATATATATATATATATATATATATATATATCTGAATCATTTTGCTGCACACCTGAAACACAACATTGCAAATCAACTATACTTCAATTAAAAAATATACAAATAAATATCAAAATTATTATGTTGAGTAAAAGAAGCCAAACACAAGACTATCTCTATGATATCTAATTCTTTCACTCAACATAATGATGTATATAATTATCATATATATGACATAGATGAAATATATATGATATATACAGTGGTACTTTTGTTACAGCAGCCCTAAGAAACTAATACACATGACAATATGTGTTTCTCAAAACTCATGAAACTATACACTTAAAATGGGTGATGCTTATTCTATGTAAATTGTATCTCAATAGACCTGATTAAAAACAAGGGCATTAGAGAAAAAAAAAAAGACTGAGGGGTAAAAGAAGACTTGCAGATGGCCAACAGGTATATGAAAGGAACTCAACATCACTAATCATCAGGGAAATGCAAATCAGTACCACAATAAGATACCACCTCACACCTGTTAGAATGGCTATTATTAAAAAGCGAGAGAGAAGTGTTGGCCAGAATGTGGAGAAAAGGGAACCCTCCTACACTGTTGGTGGGAATGTAAATTGGTGCAGCCACTATGGAGAACAGTATGGAGGTTCCTCAAAATATAAAAAATAAAACTACCATATGATCCTGTGATCCCACTCCTGGGCATACATCCCTAGAAAACTAATTATAATTTGAAAAGCTGCATGCATGCCGATGTTCACAGCAGCACTATTTACAGTAGATAAGACATGGAGACCATCTAAGTGTCCACTGACAGATGAATGGGTAAAGAAGATGTGATGTGATATATATATATCACACACACATTGGAATAATATTCAGCCATAAAAAGAACAAAATCTAGGCATTTGTGACAATATGGATGGCTCTTGAGGGTATTATGTTTAGTGAAATAAGTGAGACAGAGAAAGACAAATACTGTATGATTTCACTTATGTGGGACCCCTGAACTCGCAGAAACACAGTAGATTGGCGGTTGTGCAGGTGTGGGTGGAGGAAATGGGTGAAGGTGGTCAAAGTGTACAAGCTCCCAGTTATAAGACAAATGAGTTCTGAGGATCTAATGTGTAGCATGGTGCCTATAGCTAACAGTACTGAACTGTCCACTTGACTGTTTTGCTAGAAGAGTAGATCTTAGGAGTTCTCACCACACACACACACACGCACACACACACACCACACCATGTGAGGCAACCATGTGAGGTGATGAACTGTTAACTAACTTCACTGTGGTAGTCATTTTGCAATATGTATGTATATAAAATTGTCACGTTACACACTTTAACTTTCACAATATTATATGTCAATTATATCTCAATAAAGCTGGCAAAATAAAAAAGATGAGCGATGTGTAAAACGTCTACATTTTTATCTACTCACATGCACTCTAGTTACTGAACTCTGGTCAGTTGTCCACTGCTCAGGAAGTTTTAAAAATCATGATATTAACCAGCTTTTGGCTTTTGAATAACGTGAGTTTCTCTGGGATTATTTAGAAACTCATTAGCAGTGACTGAATTTATATTTCAGAGATTTGGAGGATGTAAACCTCATATTTTGGATTCTTGACCTGGTTATAAAAGAAATCTTTTTACAAGATTCTTAATGCTTGATTTACTCATAATATATATCACTGGTCATGCAGTAAATCCAGTTTTTCATGCTCCCAGGTCTAAAAATCAGATTTATATTTTTGATCTAAAATTCCTAGCTGTAGTTCTGTATATGTACCCAAAAGCCAGCTCTGCCTTAGACCTTGGCTCAGACCATTTGTTGTTATCAAAGGGGTGCATGAGGCTAAAAGCCCACTTGCTACTCGAATGGAACCTTGTAAATGGAACAAATCCCCAGTGGGCTCTTCGGTCTATCTGTTTTCTATCTTGGGTTTCAACATAGTAACCTTGACATTAGCAATATACCGCTGAGCACGATTTGTATGGAGACGAATTGGGATAGATTTGTTCCAGGTTCAAAAGTGATTTCTCCCTGTCACAGGGCAGAGACTTGATGAAGTCTTGGCACTCTAAGCACAAACCAGCCTCTGCGAGCACAGGGGAAAGAGCAGCTGCCCAGGTTGTACAGGCTGACATCCTTCACTTCCCACCTTCAAGGTAAGAATACTCTTCTTGTATTAAATGCTCACTGCTGTGCATAACCAATTTCTGTTTATTAAGGCACATGGCCATCTTACCCCACCCACTCGTTCTCTCTTTTCCTCTCTAGTCAAGCAGGTTTTATGGAAAAAGTGAGTTGTTCCAATTTATAGTTCATTCAGACAGTCCTGAGACTGTCAAGTTTGATTTTTGAGACGGAGTGAGTGGGTCAAAATGGATGTAAATGAACCAAACTTTCAATCAGATGTGATCTGAGTATACAGCGCTATAGTTCAGTTGTAATAGAAAGTATAAGAGTTTAAAAGGCCCAGAATAATTCAGACTAAAATATCTTGGGGTATTTTTCCATTTTAAAATGAACTGAGCAATTCTCTGTGGTTGAGGATTGACAGCATAATGGAAACAGAGCAAACTGCAGAACTTCTCACCAGGTAACTTCATTAGCAGCGAAATTCACAATGCAGTCTGCTGGCTGAAAAGAGCATGAAGCCCTCTGTTTTCTTAGGAGGTGCCATATGCTCATGGTTCTTGGCCGACTATACATAGTTACTTGCTAAATTGTGGTTACTGGAAAACGCTCTCTATCCTGTAACTTTTAGCAATATTGTAAGAGACCTCAGAGATGCTGATTCTTCCTGTAATTTATTATCACAGAGACACATAATTAAACCTGCTTCCAAGTATTGCCTCCTACTTACGATGCGAATACAACATGATACTGCTATGTAATAGCAATCTAGAATATTTCTATGTATTCTCGGGGATTGACTAAAGGTTAAAACGGCAGGCAAATGTTTCAGTGACCTTTGAAACTTTTATACTTCACATAAACTCTTTTTTCTAGAGATAACTTTTCATGGGACAAAATGCATTGCATAAATATTATAGACAATTCTTGTATTATGTAAACTTTATGTACATTTTTGTTCATATGTTTCACTTACCAGAATCAAGAGGCAACTTGAGGCCAACTTTGTGTGCTCAGGGATGGTGGAAAACACTGACAAAATCAAGCAACCAAAGACAAGGAGAAAACTGTAAAACAACAGAAAAAGAGAAATTTGATGAGAAACTTGCCTTAGCATGACAGACTTAAGTTCTTATTTCTAATGGATAAAGCACCAGATCCATTTGAATTGGCATTGATTAAATCGTAACAGCCCTAAAAGGGACTAGCCATTTTGAATATCAAAATACAATGTGATGTCCAGTGCAAATGGGGTTCCTCTGCAACTTTACTGATGAGAAGGATGAATGTGTGTGTGCATGTGTATGTATGCGTGTGTGCGTGTGTGTTGCGTGCTGTACTTAAATGTCCACAGCTGCTAAAAATCTGCAAATTTCCTATGAAGGGCTTTCCCAAGCAGGGGTCCTGAAAGGCCCAGATGTGTTTTTTTTTTTTTTTTCTTGCGTTATGCGGGCCTCTCACTGTTGTGGCCTCTCCCATTTGCGGAGCACAGGCTCCGGACGCGCAGGCTCAGTGGCCATGGCTCACGGGCCCAGCCGCTCCGCGGCATGTGGGATCTTCCCGAAACGGGGCACGAACCCGCGTCTCCTGCATCGGCAGGCGGACTCTCAAGCACTGCGCCACCAGGGAAGCCCCCAGATGTGTTTTGTTCTCCTGTTCGGGACCATAAGTGGTAGCTGCTCTCCTGTCAAAGGAGCAGACTCATGCTCCCGTTGGGCAGCTTTGGTGACCTGTCAAGGGTTCTAAGTGCTTACTAAGCCACTGGCTCCTTTTCAGAGTCTAATGTTGTTCCTGGATTCTCATTTGTCATTTCTTTATAGTAATAAGAATAGAAAATGACTTCCTCTGCTACCCATGTGCTTTCCATTCCCTTCCGGTCAAAGCCCTAGAGAAATGCCCCCAGCTCTACTTGTGCTGCAGTGACAGAGAGCATTTTCCACTAGTCCATCTACAGACATTTTTATTCCTAGAAATATGGAACTTCTGGAGTCTGGGGGCGGGGGGGAGCCGAGTTCCCAGAGTAAACGTCTAATAAAAAGGGCAGGCTCGGTTTTAAAGTTGAAGTTACTTATCCTGAAATTCAAAAAAAAAAAACAAAAGAACCCCCAATATCTGAGCTATTTTCCCTACCAGTCACATTTCTTACTT